TAAATTCAAGGATGATACCAAATTTATGATCTCCTTCCCTCCACCATCCCAATTGGGATTACAGGCAGACTCACCATGTATAGTTTATGTAATGCTGGGAATTGAACCCAGAGCTGTGTTTGGTAAGCACTCTGACCAAGCTCATCCGTGGCCCAGGATGGTTAATCTTCACTGTTGACTTACTGGATTTAAAATCACCTAGGAGATACATCTATGTGTGTGTCTGCGGAGGTGTTTCCAACTAGGTTTAAATGAGGAAGAAAGAGTCACCTGAAGCATGGGCAGCACCGTCTCACGGACTGGGGTCTTGGGAAGAACACAAGTGAAAAGCCAGCTGACCAACACTCATCGCTCCGAGACCTCCTTCTCCCACTGACAGTCTTTCTCAACTACGAGCAACTGAACCCCTCAAACTAGAGAGCAAAACAAATACTTCCTCCTTTCAATTACTCCATCAGGTAGTACGTCAAACAAGGAGCTAACACGTGCTTCCAGATAAGCAGATATCCACACGGAAGAGTGAGATGGACTGAAGAGCAGGAGACAAAAATCAGGTTCAACTCCACCTGCAGTCCCAGCACTTGGGAGGCTAAGGCAGCAAGATTTAGTCAGCACGGCTACACAGTAAAATCCTGTCTCAAAAACAACAAGTTCAAGTCATTCTTCATTTCAATTATTTAACATGTTTCTTCAAAGGTTTCATGTTCCCAGTTCCAAATCCCATTCCAGCTACAACAATGACTCCCCCACACTGTAACCAGAGTAGAAACTAAAACACACAACTCTATGTATGAAGTTACTCCTGCCTTCGATCCCATGCAAAGGACAAAGTCCAGATTCTACAAGGGCTAGATAAGGAAGTTCCTCATGACCTGCCTTCTGCTTCCACTGTGGCCTCAAACTTCCTGGCTAATCACCTGACTAACTTCCACTCCAGCCTTTGGAGGAGTTTTCCAAGGGTAGACAAGAGGCCAGATATGTAGAGATGTGAAAGTGACTTTGGGCAAGATAAATTGCATTTCTAAGTTTTAAATCACTTGTTTGTAAAAATCAGGAATAAAAGAAGTTAATGACTATGAAGACTAATTTTGAGAATGTAGTAAGGACTTAGTAAATACCAACTGTTATGATGATATACTTTCAGATCCTTATATACCCTATCAAGAGCACTTATCACCCAAAATTATCAAAGGCTATTAACCAGTCTCTCCAATATTTAATCAGTGTTTTTAATGTTTCTCTGCTCCTCTCCTTCTATCACACATATACAGCATACTTTAAAAAAGCTACAGTTTGGGCTGGAGAGATGGCTCAGAGGTTAAGAGCACTGACTGTTCTTCCAGAGGTCCCGAGTTCAATTCTCAGAATCCACATGGTGGCTCACAACCATCTATAATGAGAGCTGGTGCTCTCTTCTGGTGTGCAGACATACATACAAACAGAACACTGTATACATAAATAAATAAATCTTTTTAAAAAAAGCTACAGTTTGTTTTATTAGTAACTACAGCCCACAATGCAAGGGACTCTCAAGGACTATCACCCCTGGTCAGATGACTATGCTGACAAGGGACTCTCAAGGACTATCACCCCTGGCCAGATAACTATGCTGACAAGGGACTCTCAAGGACTATCACCCCTGGTCAGATGACTATGCTGACCAGTGGTCTTTCATTGGGGTGATTTTATCTCCCAGAAAACATCTGGTAATGTGTGGACACAATCTGGGTTATAACTAGTACCCAGTGGTTTAAAGCTCTGGGGATGCTGTTAAGCATTCTAGGCAGAGAACAGCCTCCCTACAATAATAACCATGTCCAGAATGGCAACAGTATCAAGGCAGAGATAGCTCCAAACCAGATAGCAGGTTCAGAAATTGTTCCAGAACCGGCATAAATTCAGAATCAGGCAAACTAAAAGAACTTTATAAATGACACATAAAGAAGAAGTTTGTAATTCCAACACATGCTGTTAAGATTTCATGTCTCTATAATTTATTATTGGTATGTGCACAGACATTTGGAAAGTAGCTAATTTCCAAAATTCCTCCCCCAAAAGATCACTAGCAGTACTATTTCTTTCTTTAAAAAATAATTCTTAAAATTTTATTTTAGAGTTATTTGTGCCTGTTTGCATGTATGTGCAAGTGTCCACAGAAGCCAGAAGAGGGCACTGGATCCCTTGGAATGACAGGGGTGCTGGAAACCAAACCCAGGTCCTCTGCAAGAGCAGTACATGCTCTTAACCATTAGGCTATCTCTCCAGCAGTAACATTTCTTCATGTTTTAATAATCAATACAGTGAAGACACGTTTTACTTAATCTCTCCTCCTGAGAGAAAGAACAGTGGAGGACTACCATTTAAGAGCAAAGACCAACACATTTAGTGCTCAAAAGGAGGTCAAGGGATGACTCACTAAAATATTTCCCTTATGAGTACAAGAATCTGAATTCATCCCCAGAACCCATGAAAAAAACCCAATATAGTCAAACTGCTGAGAAGCCATCATAAAGGAGGAAGACGGCTGTGGGAAGCCGAGAAAGCCCTGAGTGAATGTGTATTGTTTGGCATGGCACAGCCCATGCCTCAGACCTACGGGATTGGCATAGCCTTCTCCCTGGGCTGAGGCTCACAGGTACGGCAAAGCCTTACTCTGGTCATAGTGCAAATGTTGATAGTATGTCCAAGTATGAGAGCTTAGAAATAATTGACGAGCGTGTGAAAAAGCTAGCAACGACAGCTTTCTCCTGGATGTCTGCGGCTGGAGCCTGCTGGCCGACTGAGACTAAATCCTCCTCCTGTACAGAACAAATGGACTGAAGTTCCAGGTTGATTTGTAGTTGGAGCCATTCCATCAGAGTGCACACAACCCAACTTTTCTCTTTGTGTGTCTGTCCTTGTTTTATTCCCTGTATTTGTGCAGGCTCCAGGACCAAGCTGTGTGGAACCGGCAGACATACCTGTGGTGGTTTGAATAAGAATGGCCCCCATAGGCTCATATGCTTGAATACTTGCTTCCCAATTGGTGGAGCTGTTTGGGAAATGATTAGGATATGTGGGCTTGTTGGAGGAGGGGTGTCACTGGGGGTGGGCTTTGAGGTTTTGAGAGTACCATTCCCAGTGGGCTCTTTGCCTCGTGCTTGTGGATGAAGATGTGAGCTCTCAGCTGTTCCTACCGCCAGGTCTTCACTTTGCCATCATGGACTCTAACCCTCTGGAATCGTAAGCCCACTTAAACTCTTTGTTTCATAAGTTGCCTTGATCATGGTGTTTTATCACAGAAACAGAAAAGTAACTAAGACAACATCCAAGGTTGTCCTCTGCACACATGTGCAACTCCCTACCACATGCATTAAAAAAAGAAAGTAAACCCTCAAATGCCACCATACACCTGCTCTCCTACAGGACAGCCAGAAGCAATATGCCAGCACCTATATATCCACTCTGAACAACAGCTCATCAATGATTGAAATTCAAATGAAGAGGAAAGTTATGGTTTCACTGGGAGAAATCAAAATATCTTTGAAAGCTGTTATTCTTTTCTGCTAACTTATAAAATATAGCAAGGGCAATGGACATAGCATTGTCTTAAGAAACTTCTATTGATAAAAATAACCAAGTATCTTATTTGTTATCAGATAAACAATCTTGGAAGAAATCTTAAACATTATAACTGAGGTAAGTTTGTAGATCTGAAGGAGATTGTTATAGGGAACTTTATAAATAGTTAAAGTGGGGAATTTTCCTGTAAGAGCAAAGGAAGCCTGGAGAAATGACTCAGTGGTAAAGAGTGCGAACCTCTACTACAGAGGAACTAAAGTTCAGTTCCCAGGACCCACAATCAGGCAGATCAGCCTGTAACTTCAGCCCTAGTGGGATCTAATGCTGTTGGCCTCCATGGGCACCTACTGGTACACATGTGTGCATACCCACACATAGACACACATTCATACACATGATGAAAAATAAATTTAAAAAACAGCAATTTGCAGACATTAATCAAAACTGACTTCAAACAAAAGATTAACAGTATTCTAATTAACTGTGTTTTGTTTTGTTTAAGATTTTTAGTTTCATTTATGTGTATGTGTCTACATGAGTGTACGCCATGCATGTGCAGGCATCCCTTCAGGTCAGGAGAGTCTGTATGAACTCCTGGGACTGGAGTTTCGGGCAGTTGTAGCCACCAGGCATTTACTCTGAGAACCAAATTCGGGTCCTCTGGAAAGGGAGTAAGTGCTGTTAATGACTGAGCCATCTCTTATCTATCCCCTAATCAGCTGTTTAGGGGGCACATGTCTCCTATAATATTGTGTCTCGGTTGTTAGTCAAAATTCAGTGATTGGCAAGTAGGTGTACATTACTGAATAAGTAGATGAACTATCTGCAGTTCTGGAGTAAGGTATGTTCTCTGTCCTCTTTTCTTCCCCCTTCCTTCCTTTCTTTTCTTTTGGTCATTTTTTTTCTTCTTCTTCTTTTTTTTTTTTTTTTTTTTTGAGACAGGGTCTCTATATAGCCCTGGCAGTTCTAGAACTATGTAGACCAGGTTGGCCTCAAACTCAGAGAGATCCACTTGCCTCTGCATCCCAAGTGCTGGGATTAAAGGCGTGCGCCACCACACCCAAACTTATTTTTAAAAAACAAAAACAAAACAGTGAAGGTCTCACTATGCAGCCCTAACTGGACTAACTCGATATGTAGACCTGTTTGGCCTGTACCTCAGAGAGATCTGGCCATTCCTGCCTCCATTGGGATTATTGACGTGTCCCACCACGCCCACCCAAGACAGACCTTTTGTGCAGTAACTTAACCCATCTTTGCTGTTCTCTGTATACAATGTCCTTGTAAGTCATAAAAAGTGGCCAATTAATTGGGTGTTCAAAGATGTCTGTTACATTTCTGGGATGTTTTTACTAAGCAATCACTTCCCACTATTACAGTCACTGAGAACTCGGTGTCTCCTGCTCAATGACCCTCTGACTGTTCTTGTCACTCCTCACCTTCCTCGGGGGCAGCTGATGCTCCTTCAGGCAGTGCGGGCTGTAACTCCCCAGCTTCCGAATGACTTTCCAAATCTGCCATCTGAATTCCTTCCAGGCGACCTCCTTTTGTGTTAGCCCTCAAAGAGGGAAAAACATATTTTCAAATGTCTAATAAGTGACACAATAATCTCTATTTTCTTTTTTTCCTTTCTAATTGTGTATTGTACTAAATTTCCATTTTTTAAAATTTCACTTAAGATTCAGAATAAAGCTGGGCGGTGGTGGCGCACGCCTTTAATCCCAGCACTCGGGAGGCAGAGCCAGGCGGATCTCTGTGAGTTCGAGGCCAGCCTGGGCTACCAAGTGAGTTCCAGGAAAGGCGCAAAGCTACACAGAGAAACCCTGTCTCGAAAAACCAAAAAAAAAAAAAAAAAAAAAAAAAAAGATTCAGAATAAAAGGTTATGAAATGGCAGATTACCAAATCCTGTTTATGAAAATGTGTGGATAGTTTTGCAAAATGTTATCAGTAGGGGACAAAGACAAAGTATGCAGGATCTCTCTGCTATTTCTTAAAATGGTTTGTCAATCACTATCAATTAAAATAGATATAAACACTATTGTTGAAAGGCTGAGAGAAGCATTAGTAAGAAATCAAGGTATACTACTGGTGAAGACAGTCACATTGCTTAATATACATAACAACAGAGAAGGCACAGCATATATGAAAAGCTGAGAGCAGCAGGGCTAAGTGAGGGCAGAGATAGAAACAATTTCCACTTACTGTTTTTCCCATTTTCACTGGGAACTCCTTAATTATTATTTACTTTTTTGCCTTATTACTACAAATGAAGCAAGGAGGAAGAAAAGTCACAAGCAGGAAAGCATCCATATGAAGCAGGCTGACACTGTACTCCTAACTAGCTCATTGTGGTGGTTTGAATGAGAATGGCCCCTCAAAGGCTTGGTCCCCCGTTAGTGGAACAGTTTGGGAAAGATTAGGAGCAAGTGTGGCTCTGTTAGTGGAACAGTTTGGGAAGGATTAGGAGCAAGTGTGGCTCTGTTAGTGGAACAGTTTGGGAAGGATTAGGAGCAAGTGTGGCTCTGTTAGTGGAACAGTTTGGAAGGATTAGGAGCAAGTGTGGCTCTGTTAGTGGAACAGTTTGGGAAGGATTAGGAGCAAGTGTGGCTCTGTTGGAGGAGGTTTAAAATCTCACACCAGGCCCAGTCTCTGTCTCTGTCTGCCTGTCTCTGTCTCTCCTGTAGCTTGAGGATCAGATGTGAGCTCTCAGCTACTGCTCCAGCATCATGCCTGTGTGTGTCCCACCACGGTGAGCATGGACTAACCCTCTGAAACTCTAAGCAAGCTCCCAATTAAATGCTTTCATTTTATAAGAGTTGCCTTGGTCATAGTGTCTAGTTATAGCAATAGAATAGTAATTAAGACATTCACCTTCTACTTTAATGTCTTTTATTTTTTCCTTTTTGGGAAAGCAATGAATTTCATTAAGGTTGCTTATAGCAGCATGGGTAAGGGTTTGTTTGTTCAGAGTATGGGCACCTTACTACGGAAGACTCTTTCTCTTCCTCATCAACTATGAACTATTTTTAAACTTGAGGGAGTGGGGGTGGGGGTGGGCGGGTGGCCACAGTCTGTACCTCCCACTTCCATGACAAGGTGTTGATGGGCCCAATCTTGTGTAGATAATTCAACTGCTGTGAAAGAACTTTGAACTTTTACACAAAGTTTTAGGTTCCATATGTGTGTGTGTGTGTATAATGTTTATGATTAAATGATACAGATACCTCTATAATAAATTAAATATGAAAGCTAGGAGACAGAGAGATAGACCAGTGTTTGAAAGCACTGGCTACTTGAAGACCCAGGTTTGATTCCTAGCATCCATATGGCAACTTACAAATGTCTGTGACTCTAGTTCTGGGAATCCAACACTCTCTTCTGGCCTCCATGGGCACCAGACATACATGCAGACAAAATGTCTACACATATAAATATTTTTGAAAGTAAAATAAATAAAAGAAAGCAAGCTAGTTGTATCTTTAACTTGAAAGAAATGTGTATATCAGGCTAGGTGATAGGGAAGGTAAGTTTCCTAATTGCCCCTCCCCTAGACGCCCCCTCTCCTCCCCCCATACTAGGGACTGAACCATGATAATGGCAATGTACATGCTAAGACATGCTCTACCATTGAGCTGTATCTCTAGGCAATTTTGAAAATTTTATTTTGAGCCAGGATCTTGCAAGGTTGCCCACGCAGATCCCCAACGTTCAATCCTCTGGCCCTCAGTTTCCTCAGTAGCTGTGATACAAGAGTTCACCACCATGCCAGGCTCTCTAGTGATTTTCTTTTCTACTGTTGAACCCTGAGTTAAAAACAAAATTAAACCTCTGTCTGTCCTTCTGGATTTGGTAATGAGCCAAACATAAGGTGCTGGTCTTCCTATAAAGACCTTTCCAAAGTCTCCATGGAAAACTATTCCATTATTTAAATTAGAAACATATTTAATGTTTATGTAACAGATCAGCAGATGAATATTGATGGCTCAACTAACACATCCATAGACAATATATTCTTTTTTGTTTGTTTGTTTGTTTTTCGAGACAAGGTTTCTCTGTGTAGCTTTGCGCCTTTCCTGGAACTCACTCTGCAGCCCAGGCTGGCCTCGAACTCACAGAGATCCCGCCTGTCTCTGCCTCCCCTGAGTGCTGGGATTAAAGGCGTGCGCCACCACCACCCGGCTGACAATACATTCTTTAATCACTTTTTTGGAATGGTTGTAAATTTAATTGACATGATGGGTTTTGAATAAAGATAAAGATAAAGATGCCAATCACCATTTAACTTTTCTGGAAATTCCAAACTAGCATTTTAGAGAATGATTTCAAAAGATAAAAAATGAGTGAGATCAAAGCAGTGTTTTAAAAACAGGAAATGAACCCAGGCATGTGGCTAATGCTTATAATCCCAGCACTTGGGAGGCTAAGTCAGGAGGATCAAGAGCTGAAGATCTAGCCTGTGCTATATGAGACCCACTCTCAAAACAAATAAACAAAAATAACAATAATACTCAATACAATTACTGGAAGTACTTTACTCCACACAAACCTGTGACTCACTTATGACACATGACCAAGCACATGCACTCTGGAAGGATGCACAACAGATTAAAACAAGGCAAAATGTAAAGTTCAAGTACACACACATCTCCCAAGGCAAAGGCTGCTCAAGTTTTCCTGCTGTCAGTGAAAAAGAACCCTAAGCTAGCGGTGCTGTGGGATGTTCTGTATGTCAAATGTGTTGCTGATTAGTCAATAATTAAAACACTGATTGGCCATTGGCTAGGCAGGAAGTGTAGGCGGGACAAGGAGGAGAATAAAGCTGGGAAGTGGAAGGCTGAGTCAGAGAGACGCTGCCAGCCGCCACGATGAGAAACAGAATGTGAAGATACCGGTAAGCCACGAGCCATGTGGCAAGGTATAGATTTATAAAAATGGATTAATTTAAGCTGAAAGAACAGTTAGCAAGAAGCCTGCCATGGCCATACAGTTTGAAACCAATACAAGTCTCTGTGTTTACTTGGTCGGGTCTGACGGCTGTGGGACTGGCAGGTGAGAGAGATTTGCCCTGACTGTGGGCCAGGCAGGAAAACTCTACCTACAAATGGCGCCCAACGTGGGGCAAGAGTTTCCACCTAAAAACCTGAGAAAAGATTCTAAAACGGAGCTAAAAACAGTTCCTAATTGTCTCTCTCAAATGAGCGGCAGCTGCTGGTTTGAGCTACTGGTGGGTTCCTAGCGTGCGTGCTCGACCTGCCTATGGCGGGAATGAGGCCTTTGCAAGTGGCACTTTGAGCTGCATAGTGGATTTAGCCTTTGCTGGTGCAGAGCAAAAGGGGAGGTTTCTGGGCTACACGCTGCTTGGCTAAAAGCATAGACCCCCGATAGCTCCCAGAGCTGGCGGTAAACCATGGCCATGTTGGGAAGCTGAGGTGGGTGGATCCAGCAGCCACAGCTGCTGCAGTTTAAGGCAATAGATTCACAATAAGACAGATTCAGATGTAATAGTTTACAATGTGTGTAAAAGATACGTAGGCTTGAAAGAGACAAAAAAGATGATATATAGAGTTATAGAAATAAATACATAGTTTTAAAAAATAAAGTCTTTAAAGAGACAGTAAAGGTAGTATAAAAAATAAGCCACGTAAAAATGGATATTACACAGAGAATCTGCATTGTGTTGTCTTTGGGACTTTTAACTGCAGAAAAACATTTCATTATAAAAGCTGTTGAGTTACGCCAAAATGTATATTTTAAAGGTATCTTGACTTCAAAATTTGAATATAAGGATATGTTACTTTGGAAAGGAGACTCTGCTTTTGTTCCCACAGAAAGCCAGAGGCTATGGATTTGTTCCAGATTAAGATACATCAGGTTTGACCAGCCAAGACCCCCTGAAAAGTCTCCGATGACACCATGGCCCAGATGATCCAACATCCAGAATGGTTTGAAGGCAACTGGCTCAGACGATACACCCTCATGGACTTTTCCATGATCCTAAAATTTTCTTTGTATCCCCATAAGATACAGCGCCCCCCTCCAGCAGGAAGTAGTAAGAGAAGCTACGCCCAAATTCCCAAATTATATGTAATTTTACTTTAAGGTTAAAACCTTCCTTTTTTTTTTTTTAAAAAAAAGGGGGGAAGTGCTGTGGGATGTTCTGTATGTCAAATGTGTTGCTGATTAGTCAATAATTAAAACACTGATTGGCCATTGGCTAGGCAGGAAGTGTAGGCGGGACAAGGAGGAGAATAAAGCTGGGAAGTGGAAGGCTGAGTCAGAGAGACGCTGCCAGCCGCCACGATGAGAAACAGAATGTGAAGATACCGGTAAGCCACGAGCCATGTGGCAAGGTATAGATTTATAAAAATGGATTAATTTAAGCTGAAAGAACAGTTAGCAAGAAGCCTGCCATGGCCATACAGTTTGAAACCAATACAAGTCTCTGTGTTTACTTGGTCGGGTCTGACGGCTGTGGGACTGGCAGGTGAGAGAGATTTGCCCTGACTGTGGGCCAGGCAGGAAAACTCTACCTAGATAGCGGTGCTGGCTCATGTCTGTAAAAGAGCACTCAGCAGGAGGACTACTGTCACAGGCAGGGGTTGAGGGTGGGCTAGAGAGAGCAGAGTGCCAGAGTGCCACAGAATGACATCATTTTCAAACAGAGTGACATTTTAATGCAATAAAAAACTTAATGCACACCTCAAACACTACCAAAGTAGAAATAATTTTGTTCATTATAATGTAGACATCAAGTTCCAAACAATGAAAGAGTATTACTTACCCCAAGGCGACCATTTTCCTTCTTTTCTCAACAGTAGGTAAGCCATTGAAAACTGCAACCACCACAGCTTCAGAATCCAAAACTTTGCATTGTCGATCTTCACTTTTGGGCAGAATATCCCCAATGATGCCATGTGTCAGGGCTCGGGGAGAGCTGTGTCTGCTCCCAGATTGAGAGCTTCCTGGGGAGCCTTCAGGAAAGAAGGGAGAAGACAATAAACATGAAAGTCTCTTAGTGTAGAAAGTTACTTTATTTGCATAATTTTCTTAATTTTAAATGTAAGAGTAGTTTTGTCTGCATGTATGAATGTGCACGTGTGTGCCTGTGTTAATGGAGGCCAGAAGAGGGCATGGAGGCCAGAAGAGGGCATCAGATCCCCTGGAAGTAGAATTACAGATGGTTGTGAGTCACCATGTGGGTGTTGGTAATCAAACCCAGGTCCTCTGCACGAACAAAAAAGTGCTCTAAGCCATGAGCCATCTTTCCAGCCTACTATATGTACATTTTGAACTACGAAAAACTTCATATATATATATATCTCCCAATCTTTTTGACTAATTACTTAAAAATTGACAAGTCCAGAAAATCTAGTTGGAAACACTGTTCTGATTTGAGATCAAGAAACTTCAAATACTGGAGCCCAGAGGTACATGTCGGCAATCCCAGAACTAGGGAGGCTGAGACAGAAAAATCAAGAGTTAAAACTTTCTCAAATACAGATAAATATATAATTAATCTTTGTATCTTATCAAATACAGATAAATATATAATTTAAATCCAAAAATAAGACAAAAGAAAAAAAACAAACTCGTGAAAAATAAACAATAAAAGGTCCCACAAAATCAGAAGTTGAACTATAATTTTAGACTCTTTGGTGGCTTTCAAGGTTAAAGCTACAACACATCAATTCCCAAGCATGTGCCCAGTAAAACTGTATTACAAATACCCCAAATTTACCTTCAGACAAAGTCTGGCAGTCTCCCTTTGAAAGGCTGTTTTCTCCAGAGTCCATAGCTCTTCGGAGTGACAGACTGCCTGCTATGGCCCGAGCTGACTTGGGTGAATTCTTCTTATTTATGGCTGCAAAAACATTTAGAAGCATTTCTGAATATGGTAAAATGTCACATAACTCACAATATAGTCAGAGAAATGTCTAACCCTCACTACACGTGGATGGTTTTCTGTCTACAATGTCCAAAATAACAGGGCGCTCTGTGGTCCTGAGTTTATTTAGCATTCTGTGACAAAAATAATTCTATTTTGTTGCTTGTGAAATAGAATCTTAATAAGATTAACTATAATCTCATTTTTAGAAAGTTGTATTAAGACAATGAAGTGTAAACAAAAATGTAACCCTCTAATACAGTGGTTCTCAACCTTCCTAAGGCTGCAACCCTTCAGTAATTCCTCATGTTGTGGTGACCCCCAATCATAAAATTATTTCATTGCTACTTCATAACTGTAATTTTGCTACTGTTAGGAATTGTAATGTAAATATCTGACATTAGACCTCCAAAGTGGTCATGACCCACAGGCTGAGAACTACAGCTATAATCTAAACAACTGGAAATTGGGCTTGATTAGATCAAAGGGATAATTAATGCTGAATTTGAAACATCATAATTATAATTACTTCAAAATATTTGTGACCAAATAAATTATAACCAAAGTAGTAGCAACAACAAAACATATAGCCTAAAATAAAGGGGGGGGGGGGGGAGGCGGGGACAGGACGGGGACGAGGGAGGGGATATGACACAGGATGGGATAGTAGTATCACCACCACAGCAAGGACTAATCAGCCGTGCAGGCATACTCAAGAAATTACAAAACAATAAATAATAAAAAGACAGCAAGAAGCAGAGAGATTGTGAATTCAGAGCCAGCCTAGGTTATGTGAGACTCTGTCTCAAAAAACCAAACCAAGACAAACAGAAAAGCACAACAGATTTATTGACGACAGGACTAGCAAGTTTGACTTTGTCCTAACGAAGACCATGATAAAAATTACAAAATTTCAAGATAAACTTTAAAAACTATTCCTATCACAAACAACACACCCCAGAATTAAGCAGCCCCAAAGACTATACAACTCAGTGAAGTCCTGTACATTTAGAAGAGGGAACCTGTGGAGCCTCGAGTTAAACTTTATACTTTCAGTATTGAACACATTTCGTGCACTTATCTTACCACTAAAACCAGAAATCTATGACAGAATTAGAACTTTAAAATTAGTTTATATCCTCTCATAACTCTTGATGTTTTCATTTGTAAGTTTTTTATAATAAAGTTTATAACATAAAAAAGAAATCTATTTCTTTCACAACATCAAAAAGACATTGTATTCAGAAACAGATTTAATGAGATTTGCATATCAAAACTGCCATCCATTACAGAAAGAAAATAAGGACAGCATGAATGGCAGTTTTGTGTTCAGACTGAGACAATATTCTTAAAGTAACACTTCCAAAATTAATCTACAGATTTAACACAATCTATATAAAAATGCCTTTTTTAATTGTTGTTGTTTAAAAAATCATTATCTAGCCGGGCAGTGGTGGCGCACGCCTTTAATCCCAGCACTCGGGAGGCAGAGGCAGGCAGATCTCTGTGAGTTCGAGGCCAGCCTGGGCTACAGGGTGAGTTCCAGGAAAGGCACAAAGCTACACAGAGAAACCCTGTGTCAAAAAACCAAAAAAGAGCCGGGCGGTGGTGGCGCACGCCTTTAATCCCAGCACTAGGGAGGCAGAGGCAGGTGGATCTCTGTGAGTTCGAGGCCAGCCTGGACTGCCAAGTGAGTTCCAGGAAAGGCGCAAAGCTACACAGAGAAACCCTGTCTTGAAAAACCAAAAAACAAACAAACAAACAAAAAAAAAAAAAAACAAAAAAAACATCATTATCTAGAGTCTGGCAAGATGGTTCAGGCACTGTGGCCAACTCTGACAGCCTGAGTTCAACCCCTGGAACATACAGCGTGAGAGGAGAGAAACAACTCCTTTAAATTGTCCTCTGACCTCCACAAACTCCTTCCCTAAGTAAATGTACATAATAATAACAGGTTCCTAAAATTTCTATGAAAATGTAAGGGATCTAGAACAGCAAAAGCAATCTCGAACAGAAGACTGCCTCCCATACCCACCACCAGGGATGACTCCAGAGCCTTGGGCTCACAGCCTACCACTGATCCTCAGCTCTGTAGTCAGGACTAAGTGGGCATGGCCGCTCTCCTGACAGCTCCAGGGCTTAGCATCAATGTGAATCTCTTAAAACCTCTAATGCTACCTCAAAAACAAGGAAAAAGAAAAGACAAGAGCAAGTAAGCGCAGAGGGGCAGTGTTGCAGTGTGGCATACCTCAAATCCTAGCACTGAGGAAGCTGAGACAGGAGGAATGCCCTAACTTCAAGGGCAGCCTGAATGCCCTGCACAGTGAGCTCCAGGCCAGCCTGGTTTATAGAGTGAGATCCAGTCTCAAACAAAGGTGGTTGTCTGGGGAATGAGCACAGGAACATGCTGTAGGTAGAACTAGGATATATGAGCCCCACAGTCAACACTGCTATACCCTACCACCACCACCACCACCACCACCGCCCGAAAAACACACACACACACACACACACAAAAAAAAAAAAACAACCCAAAAACAATTGGATGGTACCAGCATATGGACAGACTATCAAAATTGAGAATCCATAAACATTTCACACTTATGCTCTGACTTTAACAAGGGTGCCAAGACAATTCAATTGGCAACATAAAAAGGTGTGGTTCTCCTTCCTCAGGGATTGTAGGTCTGCAAGGAGGGAGGGAGCTGAAGTGGAGAGCAGGGTTGGGTTGGCTGTGGATACAATGGAGACAGCCCCCTGGGAGATGATTTCATTGAATCAGTTCAACTTTATTCCAGACTATAGAAAATATATAAGATTAGAAAATATATATATAAGATTAGGGAGCCTAGGGACAAACCCTAATTTACATTAGGTGGCTGCTTTTATCATAAGGTTTCATATGTGGCACAGGGTGCTATAGTAAAGCTCCTAGTACAAGTCGTAATTACCATAGGTACAGCAGGGGGAAAGCTTCTAGCAGGAAACTGAGCCAAGGTCATACTAGAGATAAATCAGGCATCAAGACTTAGAGATAGCTTTCAGATAAGGTCAGTCCTCCAGGCATAGGGACATTCTTGAGGTAAGAGCAAGCAAAGACCATCAAGTCTCACTGGGGAGGGAGTCCCTGATGTTACTGAGCTTTTGAGAGACCTGCCAAGCCATGACAGACTGCAACCTCTGACCATCAAGGGCTCCCAACAAAGAGGGACAAGAGCAAGCGTTACAGCCAACATGGAAAAGCTGAAATCATGACTGGCAGAAGTACAAAATTCTGCAGGTTTTGAAAATAGTATGACACTGTGGCAATTCCTCGAAAAGTTAAAAATGGTTTTTCCATTTAGCCCAGCAAGTCCACTTCTAAGTGTACACTCAAAATAAAGTATTATCTACATGATAACATAATACATGTTCATAGTAACATCACTGATCACAGTTAAAAAGTGCAAATGTGGGGCTGGAGAGATGGCTCAGCCGTTAAAGGCTAGGCTCACAACCAAAAAAAAAATGCAAATGTGTTATATATCAACTGATAGTGGATGAATAGCATGTGCACTATATAACAAAATATCTTTAGCAAAAAGAATGCATTGTTATTAACTCATAATTTAACATGCATGAAGCTTGAAAGTATATGGAAGATGGTGAAAAAACACATATAAAAAGACCTCATTTGGTCTGGCATTATGGTATATTGCTGTAGAATAATCCTCTTATACACTGTAAAGATTTGTCACTCAGATTGTTTTAATAAAATGCTGATTGGCCAGTAGCCAGGCAGGACACATAGGCAGGGTTACAAAACTCAAAATGCTAGGGAAAGAAGGACGGAGTCAGGAGTTGCCGGCCGGATGCAGAGGAAGCAAGATGAGAATATCGTATTGAGAAAAGGTACCAGGCCATGTGGCTAAACATAGATAGGAATTACGGGATAATTTAAGTAATAAGCTTGAGCTACCAGCCAAGCATTTATAATTAACATAAGGCTCTGTGTGGTAATTTGGGAAGCAGATGCTGGGTATTTGGGAGTTGCTGGCGGAACAGAAACTTCAGCTTATATATGGCACTTAACGTGGGGCCGAAATTTCCACATAAAATCTGACAACGATTAAAATAGGATTCTAGACACACAAGAATGGAGTCAAGAACAGCTTCTAGGTAATTACTTTTTCTCAGTGGGTTCTGTTTGCTAACAGCAAGCAGAAGCATGGCTCCTTTAAGATGTGAGTTACTAGTTCCTGTCAGCATGGTCAGCTCTTTTGAGAGGTCTTGCTACAAAGCACTTGAATGGGGTTTGTGCGTGGCAAGCTTCATGCTACTTGGTAGCAGTGGTAGGAATAAAAACAAACAAACAAACAAAACCCTCTAAAGGGTTTACAGTGTGTTTAAAAAGAAGCATAGGCTTGGGAGAGTAAAGAGAAGCTATAGACAATCATAAAAAAATATATATATAGTTTTGGGCTGGAGAGATGGCTCAACGGGTAAGAGCACTGGCTGTCTTCCAGAGGTCCTGAGTTCAATTCCCAGCAACCACATGATGGTTTACAACCATCTGTAATATCTGGTGCCCTCTTCTGGCCTGCAGGTATACATGCAGGCAGAACACTGATGCATAATAAATAAATAAATCTTAAAACTATATATATATATATATATAGTTTTAAAATAATGAAGTCCTTAAAAAGGGAGTAAAGTAATATGAAAAAAAAAGCCACATAAAGATGGAAAATACACAGTCTGGATACTGTATGCTCTTGTGTTGTCTTTGAATTGTTTGACTGCTGAGGAAGGAGCAACAGCTGCTAAGAGACATTTGATTATAAATGTTACTGGATTAATCCAACCTATTTATTTTGAAAATGCCTTGACTTCAAAATTCAAGTCAAAAGATATGTTACACTGGAGAAGAGGTTATGCTTTTACTTCCACAGGAAATGAGAGGCTCTGGATTCATTCTGGGTTAAGAAAAATGAGGT